AGTACATCAAAGAAGCACAGACCCTGTTTTTAGAGACAATGAGACGCCCAGAATTTTGGAGAGTGCACTTGAACCCCAAGAGCCAAGGTCACACATCTACCGTAGAGTGCCACTAGGAGCTGTGAGGTCCCCTGGCTTTTGGGTTTCCTTTCTCCATATAGGAGAAACTTACTTTCAGGTTTCTTGGGCAGTTGGACTGTGGCTGTTTCTTTCTGCCTTTGTTGTTTCTCATCTGAGCTCTGATTCAACTCTGTTCTTAGGACGTATCTCTAAGTTCTCACTCTTCTCCAGCCTGGCTCAAAGGCAGCTTGCCTGAGTCCCTTTAAGTATCAGACTCTGGGTCGCAGAGCTCAGGGCCGGCTGGAATTTCTCCTGTGATATAAGCCCCCTGCTTTCTCCAAACCTCCCCCATTAACAAAGACAATACAAAAGACTCCTTTGCCTTTTTTTTTTTTTCCAGCTGGCTTAGAATAGCAACTTTTGGATTTCATTCTACCTAATTTAAGAAAGAGGCATCTGTGGGCACTTTTTTTTTTTTCTAAAAAGAGCTCAATTTTAGTAATGTGAGCCTAAAGATTTATAAAATAGATTTATATTAAATTATGTTAATAGAAGCCTAGTAAATGCGCCAATTAATTGCAGGGGGAAAATGTTCCCTTTTAAAAGGTCTGTCACCTTAACAGGTACATTCAAAGATTCTCTGTGAATAATGAAAATAGGAACAATTGCTCTGATGCACAGAGCCGCATTCATCCTCTGGGACAGCTTTCTGTTTGGGAAAGATGGGAGGAGCTCCTTTTAAAGAAGTGATTGCTCCTTTAACCCGATTTCCTCTAGCAAATGGGTTCAATTGGAAGTGTCATTCTCTCCCTCACACCCCGAAGGCTGGGCTTTAGCTCCCATCCTAGAATCCTCTTCCCTTTCACCCCAGTGTTCACCAGTTTTTCCCCAAGCCCCAGCCTTCACTGAGCACCTTCTCACCTTCCTCAAGGACATCTCTTCCTCAAGGAGTGAGGCCTGGGGAAAAAAAAAAAAAAAAAGGAAGAGAAAAAAATGAAAAAGCTGGATCTGGAACTCAGTTAGTATGCTGGCCATAGTCTGTACAGAGCTCTGGGCTCCAGCCCCAGCACCACAAAAACCAGGTCCTGTCAGCACTTGGGAAGATGAGGGAAGAGGTTGTCTTTAGCTACAAAGGCAGTTTGCAGTCAGCATGGGCTAGAGATGCTGTATTTAAAGGAAAGCAAGCAAGCAAGCAAGAAAGACTAGTATTCTTCTATTTCTTATTCTTGGCTTTTCATTTCCATCACCACTTCTTCGCTCTCTCCCCACTCCTCTTTCTCTGTGTGTGCATGCCTCAAGCACGCATGCACGATACCTGAATCACTGCATAGTTGAGGACACACAACTCCCTTTGCCGCCTGTGACCACTTTCACTCGGCACTACCACCTTTCTGGCAACTGTCTGACCAGTCAGCTTGGCCCAACCACATGGGCACAATCCTAATCAGATATAATTGGATAGAAGTGGTGGCAAGTCACGGGGGGGGGGGGGGGGGGGGTGACAGAAGAAGCCAGAAAGGGGAGACCACCCCGCCTTCCAAATTTTGTTTTTATTTGATGAAGAAAGCAGAAAAGAAACAGAGCTTTGGTGCATAGTTCAAACCAAACCTGTCTGGAATTAGAACCCCAGAGAAGACAGGTCTACTGGCACCAGTGTTGCAGTCACCTGGACCACTGGCCATCCATGAATGAGCTGCTGGGTCCCTTTTGCCAAGTCTTACAGTTGAGAAGCCTTGCCTGGGGATACAACCCCTATGAGTCCGTTGGCCTAGAGCACAGGTTGGTCACTGCAGGTAGAAGGGGAAGAACTCTGCTCCTCCTCTCCTCTCTTGGTTGAGCCAGGGCACAGAGGGGAAAAAAAAAAAAAAGTCATCTTCTCTGTATTCTGAGCTCCCAGCGGCCCAGGGCTCTCCTGGTTGTACAAAACACCATGGGTGGTTCTCACCTCTCTTTAGTCAAATACTTTCTTGGTTTCTACTTCCCATTTTCACTTCTCTCTTCTGGCTGTATTTAGAGATTCTGATTGGTTGTGCTTTGGATAAAGAGTGTTTGGTGGGTTTCAAGTGGGATATGTGGAAAGCATGAGCCCAGGAGACATTGTCCACAGTGGCTCCCAATGTCTTAAACCTTCTCCAGTGCATCCAAGGGGACATGGCTTTGATCTGAAGCTTTTTGGCAGACTTTCTGTGCTTGAGCCTAGTGTCTGAGAGTTGGCTTAAAGGCCTTTAATCCAATGTGAATGATCAGATTCTAACTCTGGAAGCGTTAGTCTGAAAGCATGAAAAATCTTAACTGGGGTGGGTTTGGGGGAGAGGTCAGGTAGGAGTTGAAGAGGACACCATGTCTATCCTAGTTCAATTGTTAAAGTGACAGAAACTGCCTTCTAATGAATGTCTTGAAAGGACTTCTTTGAGAATCTTAGAGGACCTTTTCTTTTAATCAGAGAACATCCAAGGTCTACATAAGTATCTTTGGCTGAGTCTTTTTTGTCTCTAGAGAATGACCTCAGGGACCTCAGGATGTTCCTTGAAGAGGGGAGACAGAGAGAAAGACAGCATCATAGCAGTTCCTAGTCAGAATAGCAGAGCTTGCTGGCTCTCCTCTCACCTGCTTCAAGAGCCAGGTCCCCTCAGAGCTCCAGGTCTGGCAAACGTGACTCAGAGATCTGGCCACAAGACCTGCAACCTCTAGATGTGAGCCTGACTCAAGTGCAGGACAATGGGGAACATGCAAGGGTAGAAACGGAAAGGCAATGAGTCTGCCTGCTTCTCAGAAGAGGTTTTGCTTTGGGCTGGAATGGGCAGCAAGGCGGCAGGGGGCCCTTTGTCCTGCTTACTTCCTGCAAAGAAAGGACTCTCTTTAAAGGCCTATTCCTAGCCCCTGCAAACATCTTTCCTCCCACTGGCCTTAGTGGCCCTTTTCTTGGGGAGAGGGAAGGTTGTTTTTCAGGAAGTAGGAAATACAGCTAGCTTGTGCCAGCCATCAGGACACTCCCCCCCCATGCCACACCCCTGCTTCCCCTAGTCACAGAGATTCTGGCCACAGAGCACTAGTTGGCTTGGGGTTACTGCACAAAAGCAGGCCTGGGCCTCTGCCCAAAGGGTCTCACAGGTCCCCATTGGCCAGGGCACTATGTGGTCCCTCCTCCTGCCTGGTGCCCTAAAGGGGTCTGAGAATGAGCTTGTCCTGAGCAGTGAGGTGTGTGTGTATGAGTGTGTGTGTCCTTATGGGTTTGGGGTGAGGAGTAACTGACTCAGAAAATGTGAGGATCATAAATGCAATGATCACATTCCCTCCCTTTTCTTGCTGGGGAGAACAGGACTTAAAAAAAAAAAAATCAGAAATGAGGAGATGAGGGAAGAAGGGAATGTGTGTTAAACAATTCTTGTAACTTGAACCTGTTGGGTGACATTTTTATACAAATGATCAGGAATCCCACTGGTAGGTGTTGTTGAGGCTCCTAAATCACTTTTTCTCTTTACTTCTCTCCCACAGACACAGGTCCAGGCTGAGACACCTAGGCCAACTGTCTCTTGCTGAGAGAAGGGCTACTGGCTGGCAGGAATGAACTCCTGGACACGGTCAGGTAAAGCTGACCAAGTAACAGAGGCAGAAATAATAAACTTGGAAATATGAGATTGTAAATATTTAGAAAAGGCACTTCTCTGTTCCTGGCTTTTGCTACCTCAGCCATGGGATAGCCAGCTAACTCTGACTGATAGAAGCCACCAGGCACATTGAAGTTTCCAGTCACGCGCAGATGTCATTTGTCATTTTCCTCACACTGATCTGATTGGTGGACTGTGGGTCTTCTAAAAACTGTCCCTACAGTGTGAATTGCTTCAAAGGATTTGGGTTTTAGGCCTGAGCAAAACTAGAGACCAGAAAGGAGGAGAAAGTGCCAGGAAAAAAGTAAGTAGATTTTTTGTTTTGTTGTTTATTTTGTTTTTTGTTTTGTTTGTTTGTTTGTTTTGGCTAGGATCGTGAGCAAGTAAAAACTGTTTGGAGGCCTGGCATGGGTGCCAGAGGCAGGTGAGTCCCTAGGAGTGGAAAGCCACATAGTTTGGGCCACATAGTTTGAACCCTGCTTCAAACAAACAAGACATCATGGGTGTGGGAGTTTTCACATTTCATTTCCCTCGAATGTCAGTGCCCCCACCCACCCGCCCAACAGTTCCCTGCCCTGCCAGCTGGTGAAAGGAAGACTACCGGAGAGCAGCCTGGGATGAGGACTGGAGGTCTTTTTGGTAAGAAGTTTCTGCTACACACAAGATCTTTAGTTCCTAGCTCCATCAGCTGAGTAACCCACATTAAACTGCAGTCAGCACTTAACCTCCAAGTTCTTACCTTACCCACGTGACTGGTGAGGTAAGGGTGTGTGTGTATGTGTGTGTAACGAAGACAAGTACCACAAAGTTCGTTTTGTTTCATTTATTTAAATAAATATAAATATGTATCTTATATAAAACTATTCACATACAAAGGGACTTCCAGAGGGTTGGAATAAAACTCTTCCCCGTGAGAAATTTCAGAAAACAAGACCTACGGATTTTTAACTCTCTATATTAATGGCAACTGCAACGGTTTCATTTTAAAACAGCAACAACAACAAAAACAGTGAAGAAACCCCTGTTCTGATCAAGTTCTAAAAAGACAGGGATGGCAAATGACATGCGGCTTCAACCAACTCCCCTAATTCTCCTGTTATATGAGACTGGCTCGAATTCTAGATTATTTACATAAAAAAATAGCTGTAGCTCTGAATGCAGTCCCAGACAGAAAGTCAAGAGGGAACTTCAAAGTCGGGGCCCAGCTTTGAACTCCCCTCTGAGTTTCTTTTCCGAGTGGGAGGAGGGCAATGAACTAGAACTTTGGTCCCTCTGCTGACTCGGCAGAGGCCCGCCGCCGGAGTCAGGTAGAGGGAGAAGGAGCCTCCGTCTTTACAAGGGGGAGATCTCCTTGTCTTCATTAGCCGAGGCTGGGGACAAGGAGTCCTCGTCCTCCGAGCGCGCGTAGTGAGCCTGGCTACCCACGCACTTGCAGCTGGCGTGATTGTTCCTCGAAGCGCCTTTCCCCTCCTTCTTGTGCTTCACGCGACGGTTCTGAAACCAGATTTTCACCTGCTTCTCTGAGAGATTCAGGTACGTGGCGATCTCGATTCTTCGGAGTCGGGACAGGTACATATTGGAGGAGAATTCTCGCTCCAGCTCCAGGAGCTGCGTGCTGGTAAAGGCCGTCCTCATCCTTTTGCCGTTGGGTACCTGGCTGGCGTCGGAGCCTCCTAGGGACCCAAAAGAGAGCCAGAGGGGTGAGGTGCAGGAAAGATGTCTCCATCCTCCTTGGAAAGGATGGGTCTCCAGAAACCAGTCCAACCCTTGCTGCCTTCCACTTGTCTGCTGTCCTCACCGGCCTAGCAAAGCCAAGCCGCCAGCAGCCTCAGCTAAAGGCATGAACGCTGTTCATCAGCTGGGATGCTAAGATGCCAGACGGAGACTCAAACACACCCACTCCAAACCTCAATCAGTTAACCTCTGGTGTTCTTGAAGTCACCACCAGGTCCCCGGAGCCCGGCTAGCTAGCACGGGACACTCGTGCACCTGTAGAGCGAAGCGCACAAGGCCTCGGCAAGAGGCTGACAAGTTATCAACCTCCGCCTCTGGCGTTTCCGGGGACCGCCTCAGCAGTCCCACAAAAAGATCCCACCTCCCTCCATCCCCGCCCACGGGCTCCCACCTCCACCCAGCCCTGGCGGCGCAAAGTTTGTCTCCGGGAGCGAGCAGGTAACCCAGGGACCCAGCCATACCCATGGTGAGGCAGTGGAATCTCCGCGGGTCAGACACGTTGTAGGTGGTGGCGGCACAGACAGGTGCGTGGTGCTGCGGGTGTCCCAAGGCCGCCGCCGCCGCCGCCGCCGCCGCCGCCGCCGCCGCCGCAGCGGCCGAGCCGGGCTGCTGGGGCTGGTGATGGTGATGATGGTGTTGGGGAGGGTGGTGGTGATGGTGTGCGTGGCCCACCCGTGGGCAAAACTGCGCGTCCCCGGGCCCGGGAGAAAACTGGCTCTTGAGCAAAGGTAGGGCTCCCGTGCCACCAGCCGGCCCGCCGCCCGCAGCCCCTGGGGTCCCCGCGGCCCCGCCACCGGCTCCTGCGGGCGGGCGGGAGGAGTGCAGGTGCGAGGTGACGCAGAGCGGACACACGCAGAAAGCGCCGCTCTTGCGGGACGGGCAGCCCGGCCCGGACACGGACATCACCAACGGGGACGGCATGCCAAGGGGGATGAAGAAATCCGGCCCCGGGTGCGATTCCGGCAGCGAGGGTGCCGGCCGCGACGAGTCCTTGATGATGAGCGAGTCCACATAGAAGGAGCGCGACATGTCGAGGGGAGCGGGAGGGTGGCTCGTCCTGCGGGCCGCTGCGTCCCCTTCTCGCCTTCCGTGAGCCGGGCTCCGTCCGGGGAGCTGGGCGGACGCGGGCGGTCGAGCCCTCGGGGACGCTGAGGTGTCGGCGTCTGGGACTCGAACAAAGGGGTCCCTAGAGAGAGGTTGGTCCTCACGTCCCCCGCCCTGCGCCCCGGCTCCAGGATTTTATAGCCCCCACCCCGGCACGTGATGCTGCGGAGTACCGCTCAGCTCAGGCTCCTCCGCAGCTCCCCACCCTCGGGATAGGCTGCCCGAGTCACAACAGAAACTGAACGGGGCGGGGGGGGGGGGGGGAGGCAGGGAAGAACGCGGGGGAGGGGGAGACTCCGCAAAGGGTAGGGTCTGTTAATTTTGCTGGGGGATCGACCTCCTCTCTCTTTCATCCTTTTCTGCAGAGAAGCTGTCTCAACGAGGCATCCCCTTTCCTGCCTCCCTCCCCTGCCTGCTCTTCGGTCCAACTCTTCTTCGCGGTGACGCACAGGTGGAGACCTTCAGGCCATTTAAATTGAGATACTCCATGCCTTCAAGCTCCTCCGCGCCAACCCTGGCCGCGCAGTACAGCCTGAGACTTGTTCTCTGGAGCAGGGTGTGTGTCCCTGGAGTGGAGGTCGCCGGTCTAATGCTCACATATTCATACCTGCCCTTGCTCCCCAGCATTTAGACTTGGCCAAGGTCATTCCGGTGGTCGAGTGTGCCTAGTAACCTCCAGCTTAGAAATTAAGCCCTCCAGACCGATGTTATACCAGGTCCCAAATGCCTTTGTATTGGGGGTTCTCTTGAGGTCACTCAGACCCGGGAGCCTTCCCTGTTCACCTTTCTAACCAGCAGCTGGGCCTTCTGCCGGGGGCCCTGAGAAATCAGGCCTTTCTTATTTCAAGTGGTTACATAGTTTCCAAGCCTAACCTCCGGGAAACTCCGCCGCAAAAAAAAAAAAAAAAAAAAACAGAAATAACTAGGCGCCCTGTGGAGAGGACCGAACAGCAGCTCTCCTAGACGCTGGGGTAGGAGCTGGAGGAGGTTTTTGGATTAAGTCGAGTGAGGTGGTAATACCACCCCCACCTTTCTCAATACGGATGCTTTCGGTATCCTCAAATCCTAAAGTAAAAGGGGATGCAGCCAGGGGAGGAATCCTGCCTCTACCAATGAGGATGGTTTGGTACCAGAACTCCCTTTGGGGGCTCAGGGAGACTTGTGCATCTAACAGCTAGAGAGAGGATAGCTGCTGCCTCTAAGGCTCTTGATCTTGGGGGGGGGGTGAGTCAAGGGAGGGAGGAGGGCTGACAGCAGTTTATCACTTCCCTGCCCTTTTGCCAAAATGGCTAACTTTGAATGTGAGTTCACAGATATGGCAAGAAACTTGAAGAGGATTTCCTCAATCTGAGAAGTGCTCAAGGAGAGGGAAGACCGGCTGGAGGCATGGTTCCTGTCTTCCCATCTCTGTGACCACCTCTCTCTTGCCTGCCTGAGGAGTATAATTGGGTTGTAGGGATGCCCCGCTCTAGGGAGCCCAGGATTTATGGATGGCAATTAAAGTTTTATGAATTGCAGCTGAGGCTGGTTATTGAGCTATTTGAATGTGATTAGAATTCAATTAGAAAGTGGTTAGTGGACGGTGGGTCTCCGGAGTGTAAACAGACAGCTATTCCAGAAATGTGCTAATCCAACATCTTGTGACAACAATTAAGGAGTCTCAGGGCTGAGCATGGGGCCCACTCACTTGAAACTACTCTTGCACTGCACGGTTTGCCTGTGGGGCCTTCAAAGATGTTCACTTTCCTCCAGCTCACCCAGTCCAGCCCAGCCCTAACCAACCTCCTCTCTCCTTTGACTAGAGAAGATCCAGGCAGCTTCTGCACTGCAATTTTTCTAACACCAAGAGAAGTATTTGGAGCTCAACATTTGAGAGAGTTTTGTGGCTGGTTATTATTTAATATTTTTAACACTTATTGTATGTATATGAGTGATTTGCCTGCATGGATGGGTGGATGGATGGGTGGATGGATGGGTGGATGGATGGGTGGGTGGATGGGTGGATGGATGGGTGTGCACACAACTGTGCCTGCTGCCTTCAGAGGCTAGAAGGCACCAGCTCCCCCTGGAACTTGGTTAAGAGCCATCATATGGGTCCTGGGAACCAAATCCAGATCCTCTGCTAGATCAACAAGTGCCTTTAACTGAGCCATTTCTCTGGCCCCACAATACTTGTTGAAGGCCTAGGTTGTTCAGTGGGTTCAAAAAGGTTGGTGCTTTGAGGAAACAGCCCTTTCCTCTTTCTTCCTCTGACTAGGCAGGTTATCTACAGTCATGTCTGGGGCCAGTGCTTGCATGACATTTTTCTCAGTGGCTTCTGGTGTGTGCTTCCAAGAAGAATCTCACTCTGTTAATGTTCCGGAAATGATGTTTGTGTGCAGATCCATTCATTTTAGGGACTCATGGGCAGGCAGCTCACACCTTATTTGGTGTATGTTGGACTATAGATACATTCAGTGTCCACTCTCAAGGGATTTGCGGAGAGGCAAGTGGCGTGGGGAGGGATGCCGATGGCTGCAGGGGGGCAGAAGCTTCAGAGCAGGCTGAGAGCTGTTCATCAAAGCCCTTCCCTAATTGCTTAGACTCACCAAGAGCAAGAACTGGAGGGCTGTATCCCTTCCCAGAACTGTTGCTCTTTCATTCCCCCAGTCCTCTGTGCCTGTCTTTTTCCTTCCCTTTCTTCCAGAGGTCAGCTCCACACCCATGCCAACCCACCCCAAGCAAGCAAACCTTCTATATCCTGGGCAGAGTTGCAAACTGCCCAGAGCGAAGGAGGACCTTCATGCACCCAAGCAGGCGGGTGGCTTGGCAGCACACGTCCACAGCGCTTGCCCCAGTGCACAATTTTATTTCTCAGTGATTCTGTCTGATAAAATTTCATTGTCCATTAAGTAAGCCCCAAAATGAGGGCTCTTATGAGCCTATAATGAGCTCTAATTGCCAGGACTCGGAGAGCCACGTGGAAGGATTTACTCCGTATTAAGCAGTCGGGTACAGAGTACAGGCTGTTACCTTAGCCATTACTTTCATAATTCAAGGAGAAAATTAGTTCTTTTAAGGGGAGGGGGAAGCCTTGGCTTCCTTCTCTTTTGCTGAGGATGGTAGAGGCTGGCTTTGTCTTCCCTGAGCGCTAGGCAGTGTCACACATGCAAAGATAACAAAATCGCTTTTCCCCATTCCAAGACAGAGCATCTTATCCGGTCCAGTTAGGGGGAAAGAAAGAAAGAAAAAAAAAAAGAATCAAAGCAGCTGTAAAAAGTACAACAGTGCTTTCTTGCCACTGGGCTTTTTGAGGTTGGGTTCCTTCCAGCTCAGCCTTGAGACTTGAACACATGGATTCTAGGTTTCAAATGGTTTTATAGCAAACCCCCCCCCATCGCAACCCCACCCCCCACACCCCGTGATGGAACCTGACCAGAGCCTCACATTCCTCTCTCAATTTCCTTTCTTCTAGTTTTCCCTTTCATGGGCAAAGTGGCATGGCTTTTTCAGCAGGCCCCAGAGTTCTGACCTGTTGATGTGCTTAACCGTTCTTTTTCTTTTTTTTTTTTCAAGCATAACTCCCACTTTGTGCCTCCCCCCTAAAGCGCTCCCCCTTCCATCCTCAGTTCTTTTTTCCCCCTCTCTGCTTTAGCATTGCCCTCTGTCGTTCTGCAGCTACAAACCAAGGCTGCAGGCAGGGCTGGACAGCCGGGGAGTTGGCTGGACTGCCTCGGATTTATTTGCTCCTCTTACATTGATTTCATATTAGTTTCCAAAGCGATGAATGATCTCAAAGCTGGGTTTTGTTAGCCGAATACAAACAGGAGACAGGACTTACTTGCCCCCAGCTCCCTTTAATGAGGTCATTATCAAAGCGTGAACAAGTCTATGAATGTTTTATTGAAAGCGCATCGTTAACTTGTATCCATCCTTTTCTCCAAGTGGCATTGTGGTATTGCTGTCTGTGGCACATCTTACCCGATATAGCCCGAGATTTCCCCATTCTCTGTAACCAGGCAACCCTTTCTGAATACCCAAAAATTGAAAAGAACCGCTTAGTCTTCAAGAAAGTCCTCAATAATAGTGGAAAAGAACAAAGATCCAGGAGACAACAAAATGCCACAGGGGTGACTTTTCATGAGCAATTATCTCTCATTAATCAGAAGAGCAGCTGCAATATTAATTTTCTCTCTTTCTTCCTCTCTTTTCACAGTCCTCAAGATTTGAATAATCATAAATTTTGATTTTATGAAGGAGTCACATTTTCAGGGACTGGAGGAAAGCAGCTACCTAGGTGAAGACAAGGAGAAAAACGTTCTCGGTTTGTTTGTTTGTTTATTTATTTATTTATTTATTTATTTATTTATTTTTGTTTAAAGCTGTCAGTGAAGCAAAATTAAAAAAAAAAAAAAACCAAGAAAGAAATACTAAAAAAAACACACTCCCCCTTACTTCTAGACTGCTGCTGAGAATCAGGACCCATTCTCTTCCACCCCTCCTCCCTGCCAGTGACCCCCCTTTCTTCCCCCTGCCCAGACCCTTTCCCTAGTTTTGCTCTGAGCAGGGTGGAGGGAAATGTCCCTGGCGTCTGGCGTGGGAGTTTCAGCTGGGGTTTGGCCCGTTTAACTTGCAAACGTGAAACCAAGCGTTGTCGATCTGACCAAAGAGACACTCTTTGGGCGTAACTTGTATTGTGACCATCAAAAGCCCTCCAGCCTCAGAGGAACTGAGACGGCCATTCAGCAGAAATGGGGCGCTCGCTTTCCATTCAGGCCCTCGAGAGGCGATTGTTCCCAGGATGTGGAAAACGTGGGTCCCCAGATGAGGCTATAACCTGCAAACGAGTTAGTAGGGAGTAAAAGAATCTCATTAAAGACAAGGGCACAATTACGAAAGGCCTTCTCCCTCCCCTCCCCTCCGTGAAAGTAGTGGGTCCCAGTCCC